TTTGTATGAAGTTTATTTTCACTGATTTTTGATGAGTTGAATGTAAAATATATGAAAAAAACGTGTATTTGCTGCATTTTATTTTCATTTAGTGACTTCCTGTCGTAATGATACCAATAAAATGTTCACCGTTACAAAAGTCACTGACTCCCTGTCGTAATGATACCAATAAAATGTTCGCTGTTACAAAAGTCACTGACTCCCTGTCATAATGATACCAATAAAATGTTCGCTGTTACAAAAGTCACTGACTCCCTGTCATAATGACACCAATAAAATGTTCGCTGTTAAAAAAGTCACTGACTCGCTGTTGAATGAAACCAATAAAATGTTCACTGTTACAAAAGTCACTGACTCGCTATCGTAATGATACCAATAAAATGTTCGTTGTTACAAAAGTCACTGACTCGCTGTTGAATGAAACCAATAAAATGTTCACTGTTACAAAAGTCACTGACTCCCTGTCGTAATGATACCAATAGAATGTTCACTGTTACAAAAGTCACTGACTCCCTGTCGTAATGATACCAATAAAATGTTCGCTGTTACAAAAGTCACTGACTCCCTGTCATAATGATACCAATAAAATTTACCCAAAATTGAGCACGAAAATAAATTTGGCGCTCAAAGAGTTAATTCAAAACAGGTTTAATTATGAGATCTTGGATTTTGAGGACACCCAATTTCAAGTTAAAATGCATTTTATTAAAAAGGACGTTTGTTTTTTGCAAATATTTTCCTAATTTTTAATCCACGGAACATTAAATGATAAAACACATTTGATGTGACATGGCATATATTTAAAATATTTGTAACAGCATGAAAATATCGACAAAATGAATTCATTCTCCAGCTGCTTAGATGCTGTTCGTAGACGTGTAGTATGTTCATACAGTTCCACAAAGGTCAATGTGGCCTAGCATTACATAGATTAAAAAAATTTAAAAAAATCAATTGCTCATGTTTCTTTAAATCAAATTTTGAAGGGTGAAATTTTGAAACAACAATGTGTCAATGGCTTCATGGTGTCTGTGTAAACCCTTGATTTAGCTAATGAGAATACTGTGCACTGTTTTACTTTCACTGTTAAAAATTGTTAGAATTTTACGATTTTATAGCATTTGTGAAAACAAAATTATGCAGAAATTACTGCCACCCTAAAGTCATAGGATCCCAGGGAAATTTGGACTTCTACAAAATTTGTCTTTTTTAGTAACCGTGGTAGCAATGAAGCGGTTGACAGAAATACAAAGATGAACCTGACACACATGTTATAATATTATAGTGGCAATAAATCCATCCAAAGATTTATACAATATTTATACATTTTGGTTGTGAACTTTCATATTCATCGGTTTGAGAAGTAAACAATCTATATTAAGGGCAGTGGTCATGGCGTATCTTGTGTTCGAAATTCATGTAAACAAACATCTATTACACACGTTGTATATGTCACTACGAATTTCATATCGAACATGACGCGGCGTAATGACCACCATCTTTCAACTTTGTATGTTCACTGTGTTTTATTTTAATCTACAAACGAAAATAAATCCAGCTAATCATTAAGTTCTATATTCCTTGTATTGATATTATGTAAAACATGCAATATATTATTTTTGAAATTAATTTTGTGATCCTGTTAGTTCGTTAGTAATTCAATCTTTCAGCCAAGTTCACTACTCCAAAGTGTTTAACAATATTGTTAGATATTATATACCATCTTTGCGATTTTTGAAAAATTATCTTTTTTTACAGTCATTGGCGGATCTAGCAATTTGATAACAGGAAATTTTGTAATGGGGCTGCGTGGCGTGCCTCTCTGTGAATCCGTGCCTTATCATAGACACACCTCTGTCATTTACATAAATACTGTTTGGCTCTTGGTATATTGTCCAAGTTTTTTAGCTTAGAAATGAAAAAAAAGGGTTTCTTTTATCACCATGGTTTTAGTGAACAAAATTAATTTGTATTGCAATTTGTGTTAAATCTTTTTTATTCAAGATTGAAGATTCTTCATTTAGATTGCATCATCATCATCTTTTGGCTGATGTTCAAGTTTGAAGTGACAATATAAACAAAAAGGCGTTAACAATTTTATCAACTTGACACCTATACTGATATTACCCAAGCTGACAAAACCCATTGACTGCATGTCCCAGTTCGCAAGCAGCACAATGAATTGAAAGTTGAATACCAATGGGCCTTTTGTGTCATACTCCTTGTCTTTATAACTCTGTATGTGTGATAAGTTTTGGACAGATTTGTGACCAGATTATATTCATCTGATTTTGATCAGTAAAAATGTGACACATAGCGAGTGAGTAATAGGTGAGTGTTTTCACATTTTTAGCCTTCCTGATGATGAAGTTGAGTGGAGCTAATCTTACTGTATTTGCTTTGTTATAACGCTTCAGTACTGGTGTATTCTATGAGGAAAATAAGTCATATTTTAATGATTTACTGTGCAAAAAATTAAATTTTTGGTTTTATTATTTTATTTATTGGCTTTTAATAGAGCAAATACAGTGTTACTGATTGTCAACTTTTTTTGAAAACTTACCAGCCTGATTGTTTTGACAGTTTATATGTACAATATATTTTGGTGGTCCTCTATTAAATTTGTTCATTTTCTGATAATAAATTCAAATCTTTAATTTTTAGTGAATATTTTTTTGTAATTTTTAGTAAAAACGTCTTCAGATCACAGGTGTACCAATTGTGTTTGAGGGCAAGAAAAAAAGAAAGTGTGGTTCCTAAACCCGGACTACCCCCTTTTTACTGCCCCATCATAAACTTTTTTTGGTCATGTTTAAGAAAACGTTATAAAGTCGTGGCAGGCTTTTAATGTGATTTTACATGAATTGAAAAAAAAATGGATACGGTAAACAACATGATTTATGACACTAAAATAGTGCTTATATGCAAGAAAAAAAATGCAGTTGTAACAAGGAAATAATATATAGAAAAATAAAATCTACCTACAT